GACTCTTTCACCTTTCCGTTCCATCGCCATTTTCTCCTGGGAATTGAGTTGACTGAAAACCAATGTCAGAGTGTGTTTTTAATAGGGGGTCCTGAAATCGGGGTTGTCTAAAATGGGGTCAATGGGAGGATCCTTGAATTATTGATTTGATTATATTTGCTTTGATTTAGATTTATGGAAAGAATTTCGGCAAATATGCGAATTAAATATGGTTATTGACAGAAGTAAAATCGAATATTAATATAAATGTTGATAGGACATTGGAAATTGATAAATATTAATGTATATTTCGATAGGAAGATATGTTTAATTTATTTGTTAATTTATTGAATGTTGAATGTGGTTGGTGTTTTATTCGACAATAAAGAAAATGATAAGAAGGATAAAGGCAAGGTCATGATCGCTTAGAAAATTACATAATTTTATAGAATGAGTAAAAACAAATATTTATGTAGGCTTGGATGATAGAAATTCGGCTAAAATAACGATATATTGATGAAGGGATTATAGAATAAATAGGTTTTAGTAAATTTTCGGTTCGATTGTAAGTTGAATATGTAATTGAATTTTCGATTTGATTCGATTATAGATTTTGTTAATTCGATTTATGGTTCATTTCGATTTTATAATATATAAATATAGAAGCAAATGAAAGAATATTTAAAAAAATTATATGAAATGATATTTTTAATTTTTAAATAATATATTGAAAAATAAATAAAGAAAACAAATGAAAAGGATTGATAAGATATAAAAAAGAGAAGATTATATTAATATGGAAAAGAAAAAGAAATGGATATGGATAGATAGGAAAATAATGGGCATATATATTTAATTTATATTATTTAAGTAAGATATAAAAGAATATTATATGATGAAAATATTGATTTATATTAATTAATAATAAATATTTGATTATTATATTGAAATTTAAATATTTTTGATGAACGAAAAATAAATGTTTTGGTGATTAGTCTTGGAATAGAATGGAATATATATTATATGTTCGATTTGATTATTTTTGAAATATTGATAATTCAATGTTTATTAATTTACGATTTAAACAAATTAATTTCGAATTAATTCGGAATATTTTTTTGTATGAAATTTTGATTATGGATGATATATGATTTTATATTTGTTAATTATATTTTTAAAAGATATATAATGGTTATTTAGAATAAATCTATTTATAGATTAATTAATATCAAAGGATTTCATAATGATAATGATTTTTAAATGATCTAAAGAATTAAATTATTATATTAATTAAATATCGATAATTTATCTTTTAATGTTCGATTATTACAATTATTCCATATTCTCCATTAATTCCACCTAATATATGCAATTATTTTAAATAATAAAATCTAGATGCATATATTTTATTAAACAAAAATATTATTGCAGAATCAAATTTATATTTAGAAATAATAATTTTTTTAATGAATAAATTACATTACAAATTTGAAATATAAAATCTAAATATATTAATTTGGGTAAAATCATTATTATTTAATTTCGTCAATATTTTTAATAAATTCAAAAGGAAGATTTGCCTCTTTTTTCGCACCATGAATTGATTACTATATTTTTGGAATCTAATATTATATATGGATGATTGAATGATATCTTGCCTTTTCCTATTAAGGCAATCATGATCGCCTTATTAAAAGATATATTTGATATATTCTATTGAAATCAATGATCATGAAAATATATTGATTATATTTATATATTATTAAATACCTTCAATTCATAGATATATAAATTGATCGAATCATAATATTATTAAGAATTTCATATATAGATTCATTCATATATATTAAATTCTATATCTTTAAATTAATATATATATATCTATATACAAAAATATTTATCCAATTCGATATCGAATTCAATAATAATTCAATTTTTTGTCGAATCATTATTATCAAATATATATTGTCTTGAATGATATAATCCATAGAAATGATATTTTCTAGAGAATTATTCTGATTATCATTTAAATATTAATATATATATATAATATTTAATTTATTAATAATTCTATATTGGATGAAATGTTTCTTTATAATTAATTTTGATTATATATGCAACCCTTATGCAATCAATTTGAATATTTCTTTAAAAATCGTCGATATATATTAAAAATCATCCTATATAAATAAAGATATCGATCTTTCTAGAAATATATCAATATATTCATAAATAATTAGAATGTTTCGATATAGGGGGCCGCTAAATCTGTGGTCCCAATTGATCCAATTGAATAGGGTGCCCTAATTGACCCAATTGGCCCGATTGGTCAAATTGACCCATTTGATCTCAATTGGGTCCAGATATTTAACGTGGCCGCCTGATCAAATCGACTATCGCGACCAATACCACTGCTACTACTATGCGTCAATTGGGCAAATATTGGGTCTGCAGATTTAGCGTATCCGCCTGGTCAATTCGACCACCACGATAATTGTTTCTATTGTTACGTGTCAATTGGGTCAAATGGGTCCATTGGGGTTAATTGGGGTCAATTGGCATTTGGACATGGGATCAATTGGATGATCTGGATCAATTTGGATCAACGGGCCAATTGGGATCAATTGGGTCCATTGCTATTACTAGGTTGTTGTCTGAATTGGATCAAGAAAAATCATCAATCAATCTCAATATGGGATTCCTAGTGTGGAATGAAATTTCTATGTGTCAGATTATGTTTGTTTTTTTCATAATTCACTATTATTATCTATATGTTTATTTTCTATTGAAATTCTGATGGAGGCAATGTCTCAATTGATTCAGGAAAAATCGTCAACCAATCTCAATACGGGACACTTGGCGTTAAGCTTGGTTTCCCATGGTTAGACTATGTATTTCTATGTGCCAATGTTTTTTACGCGGCCATGATCGATTCGATGGAAGAAGGAATCCTAACCAAGCTTAATACAAGATGTCTAATTTGGATCTTGGTTTCACATAACCAAATCGTTTGTTCATAGATAATCGATAGGTCTAATTCTAATATTATCTCTTAATTCGCAAGAAGAAATGGTCCCCAAATGTTGATTTCTAAAATGGATCAAATTGGATCAACCGAGGTTGTGATGAAATTCCTTTTCGAATGTTGAATAAATTTCCGAATTAAATTCTATACGAAATATATAATATTAATGGTGATTTCCATTGATTAAATTATATCTTTATAATTCCATATTTCCACAGATGAGGATGGTTCTCAAATTCCAGAATTCTATGGATGAATTAATTTAGTTGTTTATGATTTAATGGATAACCTGATGATCGAATATATAATACCTAATCCCTACTTTAGAATTAAAAAAGATCCACAAATCGACCACGGGATCCTCCCAGAAATCGAATTCTAACTAACTCTAATTCGAACCTGCAAAAGATCCTCACAGAAGAAAAATATTTCCAAATTCGTAATAATTCGCACGAAAAGATAATCGGTGATTGAACCTTCCCCTGTCTAAAAGATCCAAATTATCGTTACAATTCCAAATTTAATTCCGCGCATACAATTCGTTAACCATTCTTTTAATAATCGTCTATTTATGCAATAGTTACGCCTGTTTCATATAAGGGGTATCCAATAAAAATATAAAATCGATAAATTAAATAGAAAAGATTTTGCCCAAATTCAACACGGAAATCCTAATATAATTAATATTTATTTTATACCTAACATTAATATAAATTCATCTTCAATCGAATATATTCAATATTATAATCCTTATCAAATCTTAAACCCAACAAAACCAAATTAATACGTAAACAATACTATAACAATAATCATAATAAATTCAATTAATTCAATAATTAATAAATCTAAACCTAATTCTTTATCTTTTTTGTAATTATTAATTATATACATCATACAAAATATTTATATAAATAATTAAATATTAATAATATAAATTTTAATAAATTATTTAATATAAAATTTAATACATTAGTTGTAATTAATTGATATAAATAAATATATATATATAGAATAATTTCCAATTCCAAATATATAAATTAATATATCGTTATATAGATATATTCATTATAATATCAACCCCGGATTAATTTGTCCCCCCCCCCCGTAGAAGGTCAACAAGGTCAAGAAGGTATGAGATACCATTCATGAGGTCCACTCCCCCTAAATTATCGGCTCAGGGAGCATCGTAGTCGCAGCCGTCCTCGGTAGTAGGTAGTAGGTAGTAGTAGTAGGTAGTAGTAGATAGTAGTAGGTAGTAGTAGATAGTAGTAGGTAGTAGGTAGTAATAGGTAGTAGTAGGTAGTAGGTAGTAGTAGGTAGTAGTAGGTAGTAGGTGGTAGTAGGTAGTAGTAGGTAGTAGGTAGTAGTAGGTAGTAGGTAGTAGTAGGTAGTAGTAGTCACAACAAGTTTAAACAAGCACAAAGAAAAGGCCAGGGACACAGGATCAAATTAATAGGAGGTGGTAGTGCAGATTATTGATGGGGTACCGGCCCTTGTAAGGGGTACCCTTTGTGAGCTTGTCAAATGATTGTTCTTAATTGTGGCAATTTATAGGCCCTGAGCCCTAGACATTTTTAAGGATTTCATCAAACATGTAGTAGGTAGTAGGTGATGATGGTGGTGGTGGTGGTAGCAGTAGCAGTAGCAGTAGCAGTAGCAGAAGCAGAAGCAGAAGCAGTAGCAGTAGCAGTAGCAGCAGTAGCAGCAGCAGCAGGAGGAGTAGTAGTAGTAGTAGTAGCAGTAGCAGTAGCAGTAGGAGTAGTAGTAGTAGTAGTTGTAGTAGTAGTTGAAGTAGTAGTAGTAGTAGTAGTACGAAAAATTGACCTGGTTGTGGGCTCGGATTAACTGGGGGGGATTGTTGGTAGAAAACTAGACCATAGGGGGGGAAATCAACAGCCAATAATACTTTTAAATTGGGCAATTTCCGGCGGCTTTGTGGGCTCGGATTAACTAGGGGGGATTTATTAATCCTAACTTGACATTATTTATTATATATTTTTGATCTTAATTCATGGTTTCTCATATCTATAATGTTGGGTTTCGCAACGCCATCCCAATTTGGATAAGATTAACCTGATCATCAAGGGATGAAAGGTGGTCTTCATTTCAACCAATATCAGCCTCCTGAGCCTCTGAAGCACGACATGAACAGCCATCTACGTCTCCTGAGTGAACGACCGGGCCATCTTCTGCCCGCCAATGACACTGGGTTCCACTTGTTGGTGATAGTCCTGGAGCGGCGGGTTTTCGCGGTCTGTGCGTGGTCCACCCGCATCGTCTTGGCGTCCTCCGTGCAACGCCCATCCAGCGCATCTGCCAGAGAGATGGGAACGAGTTCACTGCCAGGCACCTGTCCGGAAAGGTCGCGCGCGGAGCGCTACAAAAGAGTTCTCAAAGCTTCGACCTTCTTATATAATCTTATTATATATATATAGTTATCTTTTAATTTTCCAACTGAATTGTGTCCTTGGAATCTTATCACCTTTGACGGTTTCATATAGTTTCTGAATGTTTCTGACAAGTCTGCTAAAAAACCGACCTTGATCCTGGAGGTGGCCAACTCAAAGACCAGCCTGTCCGACAGATCAAATACAAAAGCATACAAAAGCTGCGCTTTGCGCCATGAGCCAACAAGTGCCAACGCATCAACACACCTCATCCGGCGCTGCAACATCCCCCTTGGTAATCAATATCAAGAAAGTCATTCAATCTTGGGAAGTCCAAATACATCTCCACAGGACCCTTGAATTCAACATTTCCACAGATTTTCGACATCTTTCGACATGGTACGGAAAGCACGTGTAGCAAAGGATGCACAATGCCATGTTCGCCCAGGACCTTGGCAAGCCACACTCAACGGCGGATTGACCGATCGCAGCAAGAGCGACTGATCGCAGCCCAAGTGCTCACCATTTCGTTCGTCCAAATTGTAGATCATGCACACACCAATCTTGCGGGGTCGGGTCACTGCTGTCAACCTCTCCGCATAGCACTGAACCTGCAGCTTATGAGCTTGCGGGTTAGGTGGGTTCTACAGAATGTCATGATCGACACCCCTTCCCAAACGGCGGCCTGGTATCGAAACAGGCCAATAAAATAGGCCACTGCAGGGTGGAAGCAGAAAAGCAGCGGCCAGGGCGTCAGCATCCTCATGTTGCTACATGTTTTTTCACAGAGTTCAAGAAACGATCCATGTAGCTATGGCTCAAAGATTGCATTCCCTATTTTGGCCAGCGTTGGCCCTCAACACACTTCCCTTTTCAGAGTGTCGTGTTTCCTTGTTGCTACCTTTTCACACGCGTTCGAGGATCAGAAGTACCATGGCAATGACCGTGAAGATCGACGGCGCCAGCGCGATGTCGTTGCCGCCGATGGAGATCACCAGCATGTCGCAGGGTCGAATCCGATCGCGGATCAATTCCTCCGGGCGCCGCGCTTCGACCCAAATACACACCGAAGATGCCAGTCCCATGGAGTGCATTGGGTACCATACTCGTTAACAATCTCGTTCACTTTTTGCCAGTCCTATCGAGCATCCGGAATATAGGTGGAATGCAAAGCTGAGGGGGGCGAAGATTCACAAAGATCATGACTTCAATTGCGATTGTGATTCAATGCCAATTTTGCTGCATGTTGCTGCTGCATTGTTCCTTTCGAGTATTTGAACACGTGAAATTGATGAATCAACATCTGAATGCCTGGCAATTCCTTAAACATAAACATACTATAAACCAGCTTGCGCCGTTCTTCCCTCTCTCAGTACCTCTTGTTCATACAGCCCACAGCAGGATGGCACCACACAGCACTGCACTCCACCCACTCGACTTGCCAAGGTCCTCAGTGCCGACGAGAATCGAACAAAGCGCGCTCAACTGTTGTCTGACTCAAAGACGACCTACTAGTACGTAGCTTCTTGCTCCTAGTAGTAATGGCCTCCAACCTACTAGCTTCTTGCTACTAGTCTGTGATGGTCTGGCCTGTGAATGCCAATCAAGCCAGGGGTGGATCGGACGGGGTCTTAAATACACTCTAATCGCTTTGTTCGTCCATCTCTGCGGGTTTTGCATCGGCCGGACCGGACCCAGGCTCGTGGCTTCAATGGCCGTGTTCAAAGCAATGGCGTTCGCTTTCAAATCATAGAGAATCTGATTCATCCAGTAGGTCACATCGCAAACCATCCTCATCAGCGAAGAACAGATGTTTCTTCACGAAGGACGGTATGTGCTTCTGCATCTGCATCTCAAGAGGATTTCCGTAAAATGAGAAGACATTTCTTTTTGGGCTTGGAGTGATACAAATGTTGACTTGTCATTGGTTTAGCCCAGTAACAGGCACTCAATCCCCGGATGGCAGCGCGAAAGTGACCCTTGAGATCCCAGATTGAGGCCACTCACTTAAGCCTCTAAAGGTTAACTTAGGGACCCTGGTAGTTAACTGTTTACATCTGTTTACTTAATTTCAACAAGACAAATCCATCGCCTGGGTGGTTGTAGCAAACGCTCATAGCCATTCACTGCTGGAGCATGCGCTGAGGATGGTCGCCAATGGTCTGCTGGTGCACCCTGACAGCACGAAAACTGCTTGGTCTTTGCATCATTGGTCCACTCATTGGTCCTGTCACCGTTTTCCCGACACTGTTAGAGCCAGTGGGGAATAATCCAAACTGCTTCATCAATCACCACTTGGTCTGGTGAGACTCAGGTCTATCTCTACACGAGTTGACTGCTTCAATTCAATGCTGGACTCGGCCTTTTCATCATTGGTCCTATCTCTACAGGATCGATCACCCAACACTGCTAGCGCAGGTCGCGAACGCTCCATGTGAGGCAGGAGGGCTTCACCACTTGAAGAAGTTTCCTTAGGGTTGTCTAGTGAGCCTGCTCCATTTCGGCGCGGTTTGGGGGTCTTTTGCAAAAGAAACCCGACAGTGTTTCGCAAGCGTTGAATGAATTGGAGAAGGATGACCTCATCCTTTGAGGAAAGCAACAGCGAAGCGTTTCTATCCATCATGTGTAAATCAATTCTGAAAAACAAACATCGAAACATCTCGTCGAACATCAGAGTTCTTGACTCTTCTCGCCTGATTAAAAAGCCACGTTTTGTTGTCCAAAGATGAATCACCAGCCAAGAATATCCTCAAATGCAAGTGCCGAAGCGAATGCGAGTGCTGCAGTGAGCTATATCAACTCTACTGCCAATTTCAAGCAAGCGTCAAACAGTGAGAAGTTGCTGGTGCTTCTTGCAGCCAAAGGTCACTGGTGCTTCTCTGTGAATCAGCAACAAACCGTCCAGTAAACTCTCGAGATAACCTTGCAGAAAAGCGCAAACTGCAAACCAACAGGCAGCCAGGAACACACAAGGCTTCCGTCTTGGCAAAGCATACCACATCATACCACATCTACATGGAATCCTTCATCTTCATTCTGATTCTTTCACGAGAGTTGTCTTCTCAGCTGCTCAGCTCGAGCCCGTGGCTCGTGAATGTTGCCATCTACATGTGAAAAAAGTCCAACCGGTACCCAGAATTTCTGCGCACGAACATCACGCCGGGATGCGGACATCATGACCATGATAAGTTGAGTAGAAGGGTCCTGCGAGACCACACGAATCACTGACCGTACGAATCAGTCGTGCCGGCACGGCTGCGGGATCTTTTGGGCACGGCAGGGACCCAATGATCTTCATGCTGAGCAATGCTGTGCGGCGGCGGCGTTGAATAGTTCAGACCCCATGCATCCCTAAGTACCAAACCTGAGGTGAGCCAGCGAGCAGGATAGAGGGAGACTATTGATGCAGGCGGTCGGAGTGGAGGGCCCAGTCGTAGCGAACCGGAAGGGCCGGTGTGTGGATCCTTAGGGAGACATCGCCACACACTCGATCACTCGGTCCGTCAAGCTACCCCGGTCCCGGTCCTGCTGGAACCATTTGAAGCTGAGCAGGAGCACGGGGTCTGGCAACTGTTGGTGCTTCGAAACAATTGGCCAGCATTGATGAGACGTCCTCATGTTCAGGCCCAGGCAGCACTTGCCAGGAAACGAATCAGTTTCTGATGAATACTGAATCTTCAAGCGGTTTTTCATAATCGAAGTCTCAAACAGAATGAATTTGATCCTGATTCAAGTGGCCACACTTTCTTGACATGTACTCTGCACACGAATTTTGATCACTTTCATCACTCCGTCTCACGGCAAGTCCTCACTGGACTCATTCTCTTCGGTATCTTCATCCATGGGCTGACCAACTTTTGCCATGTCAACTTTGGACTGACAGTCTTCGGCTTTTGAGTATGTAGCTATCAGGACAATGAGTTCTTGATTGAGTTACTATATGGGTTTCAACAATCACCATCAAAGGATGTTCAAACCTTGTGTCGAGGATGAGAAGCTTAATGGCGGATAATGGCGATGAATCCTCCCTCTCTGTCTGCCCACTTACGTTTGTCTGGACTGGCTCGACACCAATAAGTCACAAATCAAAGCCTATAAAAGTTGATCTTGGACCTCGACAGCAATAAGAGCAGGGTGACACGTCAATGACAATGCGACGACTTGAGAAGATCCATGACAATGAATCGTGGTTAAGAAGAGTAAGGGGACATGGGGTTGATTGCGACCGTTCCAAATAGGTGCCCATACAGACACAATAATGAAGCTAAAGAATACACTCCTCAACAATTGAGGCAACTCTTTTGCAGCTCGCATATCTGATTCAGGCTGCCTGGGCAATGCACTTGTGGGCCCTTGACATGACAACATGTGTGTGCTTCACGCTTTCCCAGTGTACAAATGGTGCACAAAGTATGACAAAAGGTGCTTTCCAACATGTGGCCGAGTCGCTGTTCCTTCCGGTGCAATGGAACATCAGGTCTCAGCACGATGTCTTTGAGGACTTGCTCAAGCACACGGCCCAAGCTTCGATCCTCCTTGCGGCTGGCCCGGATCTTCAAGCAAAAGACCCATTCCTCGGCGATGCTGATCACTGTCCCCTTTGCCACTGTAAGGTTTTCAAGTGAAAACACAAAGTATATCCTCCTACATTATCCTACTGCAAATCCAACATGCCAAGGTGGACTAGCAAGTAGGATTCTCACCTTTCAGCATTTTGTCCCTTATCAGCTCATGTCCAAGCCTTCCTACCTTGCGCGCTTCCAAGAGTCCAGCAACGACACTTGATCAGCCATGATCCACAACGCGTGATTCACGTTACGCCGGTCCCAGTTTCGCTCACCTTCCACAGGCGGCCACTGCGTCACATGGTGCCAGTCGCTTTCGTCGGTGGAAGAACTGTTCACCTCCAGCAGTGGGCGCACGTTGATGTAAATCCGATCTTCACTGCTGGTCCTTCACGGTTGGGCAGTAACAAGTGCCTCGCTAGTAGTAACAAGTGCCTTACTAGTAGTAACAATGTTTGCTATTAGAATTAAAGTAAAACTAAATTTAAGTCATTTGATGGTTGTGGTTGGTGAGCCGTCGAACTGGAGCCCTTGTTCAACCAATAATTCGTGTTAGCACCCATTGATGCTTCACCCTGATTCACCATGGCAGTTAGTAAGGCATCTTGATATGATCATATATGATCCATTACAACTCAGACTCATGACGGACCCGTCCTGGGATCCGGCACCCTCCAGTGCCGATGTCGCACGCCATCCGCGAGGCATCGCGCGGCCTCCTCGAGGCCGATGGCGTCGTCGAAGGCCACGTCCAGGTCGCGGGCATCGGCGAAGTCCGCCACGCTGCCTGGCGACCGATCCGTCAGGCCAAGACGACGGGCGGAGTAGGGCGGAGTAGGGCGGGTCGGGTGGGGCAGAAGATGCCACCGACGATTGGTACATGGGGGGGCAGTATACTGGGCAGTGATTTGGTTTGTTTCCAAGAAGCGGGGGGGGGACAAAACGAAGACGTGCGTTTTTGTAGACTTAGTCCTTTGATGTCGTTTGACATGATTTGATTATACATGTTTGCCTGAAGACTCACAGGGAAAACACTGTCACTATCACATGTTGCCCGCACACAACATCGAGTATTGCTTGAACATAGGCAATTTGAACAAAAATAGACATAATAAGTAGCATTCAACATGTTTGCTTCCATGCCCACTTCCTCATCATGCCTTCCTCACCCATCTTTTGCCTTCATCTCCTTGATCTCTTGCAGATGCAACGAAGCGCAAGTGCAATGATGGAGGATGAAGACGAGCAAGTGCACAGCCCAGAAGGGCCAAAACCGCCACATCCAACGAGCAGCACCAGTGTCGATGTTCAACGATTGATCGAAGGGTTTCCATGGAAGCTTGCTGCAGCCAAATGAAGTGATCGAAACCCTCCTCAGTGCGAATCTGGAAGCTCTAGAGCATCTGCAAGCTCTATGTCTTTTCTTGTGCTAAGTAGGCCTCCTAGTGACCAATGTCATGTAATGATTTCTCAAAACGAGCAGCTTCTGACCCAAAAGTTGATTTTGTTTGTTGGTTTTGCATGATCATACCAGGTGTTCCTTTATTGAAGTGATGGAGTGCATAAAAGACTGAGCTTCATAGGATGAGAACGGCAAGGCCCAGCTTGCAATATCTGCCACCTCAGTAGCTGCTGCTGAAACCATCAGCGCTCCTTTCAGCCTCGCTTCTTGCGAAGAGAGCCCTGAGAAGCGATCAAAAGCATCCTCCTCTTCTGAAACCTCTCCGCTTTCACAGATTTGCTTATAAAAACGGATGAAGTCCTTTAGAAGCGGCAAACCTGAAAACCCATCTGCTAGTCCATGGCTTACAGCCACATGGAGCCGAGATCTGCTGGAGTCTTTCAGCAGCACCGCATGGATGGGGGCTTGAAGAATTTGACGACCGTTCCGGCCATCCAAAAGCCATGCAGATCGCCCCTCGAGCTGCTCAGAATCCTCACAATGCACCACATCAAGCTGTACGGATTCTGTGGCTCGGTCAGGCCCTCCTCCAGGGCCTCCAGGTAGGTGTCTTTCGTGCTGCAGCCGGGGCCACGCAGTCCACAAAAGCCAACCTATGAAGTCCATGATTCTGCCAAGTCCGCTGATCTCTCGTCCTCTTCGGCACACACGCCCCCTGATCTCTCGTGTGCGGTCTCCTAGGATGGCTCGGGTCAAGGACAAATTGGCCGCAGCTTCCATGGCCAAATCCCATGTAGCAGGAGGATCTGCTAGCCTCATCGAGAGGGCACCATGCCGATCGACCAACTTTTGCAAGGCTCTTTCGATGGCAGCACATTCCTTCTGGCCACAAGGTCCCTGGCTTTCCAATGCCCAACAAACGGACATCGCAAACATGTAAGGCCATTCTCTGACTCTGAAGTAGCATGGCTCCATACCTCCCTCGCGTGCTTGCTTTAGACCTTGGTCTTCCGCATCCGTTGGAGCCTCCGATCGACGTATGGTAAGCTTCAGCAGGTCCCAAACCGTGTCGCACGCGAGCGCCTCTCGCAAGGTCAGTCTTGGCGCTACGGCTCTTCGCAAGGCACCCACCAGCGCCGTCAGCCGGAGGGAGTCGAAGGCAGTCGACAAGGGCATGCGGGCATCCAAACGGACCTCGAATTCGAACAATTTCGAATCTTGGATACGGATCTGTAGAAGCCAATGAAGACAACACGACAAATATGTGAAAACCGATTGATTCATGTTGACTCTCGAGAGGCCCCAGGCCTAAAAGACATGTTTAAACTTTAAAACAAGTATTCCACAAAAAGGGCAATCTCCAGAATGTCAAGCCATGTCAAACCAAGCAAATCCAAGGAACTCCAGCTTCCTCTTCCAAGCGCTCAAACAAACGAAGCTCACGGTAGGAGAGCTCTGGCGAGGGAACCTGAACCTTCGGGGCCTGGTGAGGTAACTGCGTCTCGATGTCGACCCAAACCTCAGCTTGTGGATTGAGAGTAGATGGCACAAGCTACCCCCAAGCTTGGTGGTTTATATAAACCCCGATCTAAAAGTAATGTTGGGGTGCCATTTACTCTGAAACCACTGCAGGTGCAATTTCACTGACTGGTCAAGTTGGAAGTGCAACGGCAACGTCTTCTCTGCAGCAGGGCAACACAGTGGGTTGTTGACAAAATCTGCGTGTTCACATTGCCTTCCTGGTGTAACATACATATATATACACACAATATACACTTCTTAAAAATCAAACCAAACACAAATAAGATTTAAACCAGAAAAAACACAAATGCCCACAAACAAATGGAAAGGATTCTCCAGTTGAGGGATTCGACTGCATCTCTGCTATTTTGGGATCACACCCATCATGAATTGCGGAGCCGGAGGAACATAATCCAAGCGTGGTCGCCGGCGTGGCCGCCTCTGTGGCACATCCCAGTCCCAGTCCAAGGGCCTCTTCGCCGGAAGTCGTCCCACAGAGAGACGCCGCAGCAACTCTTTGCCTTGGAGGATGGCACCAAGAATCTTATTCTGGTCACAAAGGCCCGCTTCAAAACTCCTTGTCTTGGCGGTCGAAGGTGGGTATGTCTTTTTTGACCCCACAAAGGGGGGTCGAAGGTGGATGTCTTTCTTTTTGTTTCGACCCTTTTTGCTCTCCGCCCTCATGTAACGTCATATCTGGAAAAAGTGATGTTCATGAAACATATTAGTATTTATCGACCCATGAGATTTGTTTATGGGGACAAAAGGATTGGGGTCTTCATCTTACCTCCCTAACTCTGGAATCAACAGGTCATCTGTAGATCTTCGAGACTTCCGAGGCAGCATGCCCTGGACATCGGCTCGAAATCGGCCCGAACCGGAATGGCAAGTCACAGCCCGTGAAGGCCATCCTGGCCAATTGAAGACTCCGATCAGGACGCAAATACCAACCTGGGTGTGGGCATCTTTACAACACAAGTGTAGGCACAAAGCGATTCGTGTCTGTGGGGTCAACATGTGTCAACCTAGAACTTCTCAAGAAGATTAGATTTCGAAAGAGATGACGTGTGGAAAGCACTGGTTGAGATCCAGAAGATGCGCACTCATCTGCTTCTGCAGTCCGCCATGCAGAACGCCCCAGCTACCTCCAACACTGCCAAGACCTCGTCTCTTTTCAGTGTCTACATGACTAGACTGGTGGGAGCACCCTCCCACTCCCATTTTCAAGCTGAAGCACTGTACCACTCCAGGTCCTGACACCACAGAAACATTCCGGGCAGATTCGCTCAGTTGTGACTGTCTGTCAAACAACTACTACCTACGCAAAGTAGAATGTAGTGGTCGTTAAAACACAACACGGCATAACCCATCTAACTGCTCAAAAGCAGCATGTGTGGCATATGAGGAAAGAAGAGAGCTTGGCTTTACCTGCATTCTACACCAAACAATCTATCCAAAGTTAAAGCTTAATTTGTCCTCCACCACAAATGGCTGTACTTCTCATGGGGGGCCACTGCAACTCAGTCCACATCTCCACTAGCCAACTGCAAACCGCTCATGTTCATACACAAACATCTTATCCAATCACCATACAACGAACCATAAGCAAACGCCTTGAGAAGAGCCTTATTTTATTGAACCTCTTCACACCCCACTCTCACCCCACTCTCCTCCCAACCTCCCACTCTCACCCCCGCCGGCCTGGCGCACTTGCCGCTCCAGTCCGCTGAGACCCATCCACCACATCAGCGACCGTCCCACGCTGCGCACGCCCAAGCGCCACGCGCCGAAGAAGGCGGCGGCCAGGAAGAAGCGCCAAGGCCTTGGAGGGGCATCTCTCTTGGCGCTTAGAGGCCATTGCTAGTAGGTTCCAGATGGTTCCAGTCCAATTCATAAGTCCGTCTGCCGACTCGACCGTGTGGGGCCTTCGCCGGAGGTTTGGAGCATTCGGTCCAAACGACCCCGTTTTCGTCCGCCGTGCGGCCGTAGGAAACACGAGTCCTTCGACATGGGCCGACTATATCATCCATCGACATGGTCGGGGTATGTTGGGGTGATCTTCCTGCAGTTTGAAAACACTTGGGTGGATCTTTTTGAGATCCAGCTAGGTCGAGTGCTCAACATAGTTCACTGACATCTTCGTTCTCCGAAAAACCACCAATTGACCGCCCAGCCCAGTGAGCGTCCCGGGCAAAAGAGCCAGGAGAAGATTGGTGCAAATTGAAGGCATCCGCCTAGGGTCCAATGCAGCTGATCTTGTCTTGTCAACACATTTCGTAGGTTTTCGGTACTGTATACACTTCTTATTCTAGCAGTCAGTAGACTGTGAGCAGTTAGCTTCTGTGGATATTTGGTTTCGCATCACGCGTGTGGTACATGAAATGCCCCAAGATTTTTTGTTGGCAGGCAAGCCGAACCCTTTGGACGATTTCACAAAATGATTCTATATTATATGGCAACAAACAGCAATCAGTACCGGAAATTGATTTTAAAAAAAAGAGCAAAGGCTATGCACTGATTTCTGAGGAGGCCACCCACTCAAATCCTGTGCAAAAAGGCTCCCTCTGTGCCGAGGCACCTCAGCCAAGTCATGCAAGCTGCCCTCGATGGCCGCAACTGCCAAGTCATGCTGCCCGAGGCAGCCATAGGTGGGTGAAGAAGAAATGACATGACTATAGGTGGGTGAACCCGCCAACAGTGTCTTAGAGATCTATAGCCCCACTAGACTTGGCCGTTTTTCGTTTCACCTTCCGACGTACGGCTTGCCGACTTGGCGTCTGCTCCAAGCTCTTGACGAGAAGCTGCTGCCAACTTGACCAAACCAAAGGGAGTAGCAACCTTGCCAAGAGACCCAACCAGGACCACGACGTGGAAGTGAGATGGTCGTCCACCAACCAAGTGATATACCAACTGTTGTTTTTTCAGGTTTTGATCGGTCTTAACCTACATTCACCTTCATCTCAGAGTTCTTTCTGCACTTTCAATGAGCTCCTGCCACTGCATGCCACTGCTGGGGATGCAGCATTCTCCAGGCACTGCCTCTGCTGGTCACCAGCCCCAGCAAAAGGCCACGGAGTAGCTGCCAACCTGCGCTACGACGAATCATTTGGCACATGAATGCACCTGATTCGTCTCATCTCAGTTGCAACCGGTCCCAGAAATGATCATATGAATCATACGAATCAACAGTGCCTTGCATGGGAACATTGGGAAGAAGACAAGTTGCAGAATCAAAATAAATCAGAAAGCAATCAGTAATCAGCAAACTCAAGAACTCAAGAATGATTAGAGCATACTAGAAAGGATGAGAAAGGAATGCCCCGCCCAAAAACACACTCACACACTGCAAACTCTGAGCTGGCCTTTCTCTCGAATTTTGTCGGGAGCCAATGGGGACCGTCTCAAATAGACTGAGGCCTTAGATCGCACCAGCAGCGAAGAAGAAGAACCAAAGTATCAGGAGCTCTGGGTGGCCTACACAGGGGCATGACAGACAATGACTGTGCTTCAGTGTGATTCGACATGATTCGACAGAACCTGAGGCATCCATCACAATATGAAGCAGTTGGGGGCGGAGTGGAGGTGCTGATACTGCCATCCTCTGCCATCCTCTGCTGAGACATGTACATCGATTGGTGCTGCTTTTGCTGGGCTATCCTCTGTTGGAGCGGTCGTCTCTGGTGCTGGCAGGGCCTCGACAGAGGTCGAGAGGTCGAGTCGACTCGCTTCGGAAGATGCGAACGATGAGTCGGCCGAGTCAAACAGTTTGTTCGGTAGACATTCCACTTTCCAAATTCATTGAGACTGAAGAACAGAACCAAGGACAGTCAACTCTGTTTATAGTGAATGCTGAATGCTCTCTCTTCTCTCTCAACTGTTCAAACCATGAATCATCATCAATCCCTGTTCAATCCACAATTGTGGCAGCTGATGTTCTCACAACTGCTCCACATCCACCCATTCCACACCCATCCACCCACCGCTGCCCTCGTGATTTTCGCTCGCTCGCTCGCTGCCCTGAGCGCCTTTCGATCGACTTTTCCACTGGAGGTGCGTGGCCACTCATCGACTCCCACCACGTCCACGGGCCTCGGAAGAGCCCAAAACGACGAAGACGGCGGACCGGTGGAGAGTGACGGAAGACGGAAGAGGCACGGTGCACCGGTGGCCGCACCAGGCTTTGTTAGGCTGTGAAAGAGACCCCGCAGGACCGGAGGCCCCGAGGCCGAAGGGCAGGCGGAAGAGGGCCCCCCAAAAGCTTCAAAAGAATCCGACGCAAGTCAAGTCTGCAAGTCTGCAAGTCTCTTCAGGCTAACTTGAGCGAAACGCTCTCACTGGGGTCGTCTTACCGTCGTCTCAGCATCTTCCCGAACTCGATGGGGCGGTCATAAGGGGTATGGGCTGCTAGCTGCTAGCTGGCGGGTTGGCACTTGGTAAGCTTGAGCTGAGGTCCCGGCATGGCATGTGCCAGTAGCTTCTGCTGACATCCCTTCAGCAACATCTCCACTTGATGGGCTGACAAGGGCCTAGGCGCTCGAGAAGACCGCTGACAGGTTCCCCCCGCGGCGGTAACCATCCATGGCCGTTGGAACTCTTCAGTGGCAATGTTTGCCTCGGCATGGCCCCCGCCACGCAACCCCTTTGGCCCTCTTCGGGGTGGTTCGGCACGGCCCTGACGAAGATTCAAACGGAAGCGGAAGCACGCAAGCTCGTGTGCGGTCAAGCGAGTGTCTGCGTAGCTGGCGTGGAATGGACGCAATCAAGCATAAAACACGGCTGCCAAGTGGTTCAACATCCAGAAAAGGACAAACTGCCATAAACACATGTCCCAGATTCCCTGACAATTCAAAGTTCTTGGCAAGCATTTCAGGTGTGAACTTTGTGGAGCAGCTTCCAAGAGTATGTTGAAGAACCCGAGCAGAGTCTGGGATTCAGGCGGTCGTACATAGGCAACCAACTTCTTCCTGTGGAATTGCTCAGTGTCTCACGTTGAAGCTGACACATCTATGATAGCTATGAGAATATAGGGTAGGGGGCCTTGCAGACCATTTTATAGTTATAAAATGGTCAGGGCAACCAGCTCAAGGCTATATGATATAAAATGACTAGGCATGAGGCATGAGGATGGCTACAAAAACCTAATTCACTATAAACTCACCATGCCTGACCTCAGGAATACAACTTGCACATTAGAAAAAACACGCATATCATGACATATCCAATCATGAATCCTTTCCCAATTTTTCCCTGTGCACCTCATCTTCTTGCGTCATGTTGAAATATCTCTGACTTATTTTAAACATGTTTTTCCATATTCTTCTTTTGTCTGATCACAGCTTTGATGGCTCTCTGCTTTGAACCACAAACATGGGATTGCAAAAACTATCACAGTTTCACAACAGTGTCAAAATCATTCAACATCAACACGTTTCCTCTATAAAATCCTCCCCTGACCCCCCCATCAGGGGTACCACAAAACGTTTTACGTGAGGGGTATAGTGCCTGGGATTTCATAGGGCATATTCACATGGCTATCATCTATGCATCATGGACCCCAAACAAGCTGGTCTTTCGAAACCCCGTTGGCCATGCACCCCAGGTGACCAGGGTCTCAACCTCTGCCTGCGCTCAGCTGAGCGGATCGGGCTGACCGAAGGAGAGAGAGAGACGGACCGGACAACCCAGACACTCCATGGGACGGACTAAGATACCAGGACCCTCCTGTCGGGGTGCCCTGTCTGGAAGCCGAACGGCCGGTAGTGTGGGGTAGTCCAGCCAGGACACCCCGAAAACGGAGGGTCCAGGTATTTAGTGCATTGACCCCTTTTCAACATTTTCAACCACCCCAACTGGTCGGGGAAGAACGCAGAACGTTCCACATCGCACAGAAGACACGCACCTGATGTCCAGAGTCACCAATGCTTCCACTTGCAAATTCAGACTTTCTGCCTGGCCGGTGACTGGTTGTGGCTCGACAGAAGGGCGTGAAATGGTCAAACATGGTCAAATGTAACCTGGTAGTGGCGGTGTGATTCGCGCGTATATATTGAGGTAGCCAGGGCCATCATAACATGTGCCAAAATGGTGAGGTCTGCCTGAGCACAGAAGTCTTCTGAAAGCTCCAGCACGGAGGGGTATAAACATGTTTGTTCTGGAGGCTGCTTAGTTGGACATCAGGTCGCGTGCAATGTGTCATTTCAGCAAACTGCCTTGATGAAACAAGCAGTTTATACCAGCTGCTTCCAAGGGGTCACCAATGGATATCTCCACACTACTTGCAGGTCTCCATTGGGCACCCCTTGGAAGCGCTAGGTAGTTGACGTTTGGGGTCCCTGAACTCACGAGGTTCTACCTTGTGTGCGCGTGTGTGCGAGCCGCTGGAGATGCGCGATCCAATGAGGACCATGCATGACATGTACACCAAACGGACCAGGGCATTCGCTCTCCAGAACAGTTCTGGAACAATCAAGCGCTTGGATGCGCTTGGTACAGTAGATACCTTTTCATGCCCAGGTTCTGGATATCTTAATTCCTATCACGCACACTCACTTCCCGGAAATATGTGGAGTCTACTTCTGTGAAAAAACTTGGAGCGTTTCAACTCATGCTTTCTTTGATAAATCATGAGCGGCTGTCATTGTTTGCGCAGCAATTGACCTGCCCATTCGCCGCCGAACCGCCCGCTTTCCCCAGCGAACTCGCCTCTTGCTTCATGACGGCTTCAATTTCAAGCAGCTCCAACCGGTGACCACGCACCTTCACCTGCGGTGCTATAGTGCTTTTGCTGCGGGTTGAAGTGCGTGGGTGTTGACCTTCTGGAAAATCCAAGATTGAGGATAAGACAGGAAAGAAGGCCCAATGACTGGTCAACTGCTCACTAACTCACTAGCCCACACTCCAAAACATTCTGTCCAAACATGTTACGAGACCATGAGAACCTACATTTAACTAGTTAACTAACAAGTGTCCTTGCGTCATCACGCGCTTAATCACGCTCCTTCTTATGCTTCTCCACCCAACCCACCCACCCCCGGAGGGCGTCGCGGCCCGCGCATGGGCCGCCTGTCGATCCTTGCGACCCAAACAGATCAACTCCATCGAGCCGTTGAGAGACACCTGGGGAGGCAGCTGCGCATCGCGAGCTGCCGGAGCTGGATGGCGAAGCGTTTTCGGGCTGGAGATGCAAGATGGCTTCTCCTGTACAGTCTCCTGCAACTGCTTTCTATTAGCTGTCAAGTTCGAACAGTTGGTCTTCCAATCCCAACTTTACGAGGTTTCCCCTCAGAAACATACATTCCTAGAACACGGTCGCAACTGTCACGTGTGGACGAACGTTCAGTTTGTCCCTTCTTTCCCTCCTCAAACCTGGGTTGACAGGAACATGGTCTCATATCAACTTGCACAGATCAATGTTGAAAATCAGTTGAAGCAGTTGAATTGCAAGTCAGTTGAATTCCCCCAACCAACGTCATATCTGGGTGAGCCGTGCCCATCGCGCCAAATCGCCCGTGTGCAAGACTGGACCAGCACCCAACAGCGACTCCTGGCGGCAACGGCCCGTTGCGGCGCCCGAGGTCAGGGACCGAGCAAAAGGAACACGAAGAAATACAGTTTGATAGAACAACCATGTTCTGCTACACCTCTAGACCTCACACACACTGTTTGGGGTCTCTTGCCGGGATGATTTTTTGGATATTTCTGAGCCAGAATGAGGCCAGAAACAGTTTGAAGGGCGAAACGCCTATCAGGAGGTTGCCAACATGTTCGGTTCACAGTGAAACACTCTCCTGTTCGGGCAGTTTCATTTGTCCGACAGCGCACATGAAGACAGCCGCTGTCCTCCATGGTTTGGTCCAGATGCAACCCCGGGCCACCAACCAGGAGTTCACCTGTTGACAAGCCCGGCTTAGCTAAGCCCGGATGGAATCGCTTTTTCTCGCTCGTGCAGGCTTAGCTATCGTCTTCGCGGATCGCTAAGTCTTCGCGTGTTTGGCGTCTGCAGTCGGCTGTCTTCGCTGTGACAGCGTGTTCAGTGTTGTAGATGGAGCATGGCATAGAACAAGCTTCAAATCAATCATTGATCGACTCGACGTCATGTACTTCGTCAAGTTTCCATGAACTTCCTTTGTGTGGCGATCAAACCTTGACACTGATTTGAGTTGCTGTGACTCAATTCTCCATTTCGACATGAATGTTCGGTGGCGTTAGCAACTCCACATGACATGTATTCCGTAGTGGCAAGGAAACTGCTCACTTCTCCCGGTGAAACTGCACCTAGTTCAGCGCTGTCACAAAGCTTTCCATTTCCATTTGTCAGCCAAACCTGGCCGTGAAGGCGGCGAAACAGGCTGAAACACCAATCGACGTGTGCTTCCTTCTGCACTACAGGTTTTCTTGATATGATCTAATATGTACATCATCCAATAAATCATATCTTTTCCCTACACACAACATCTAGATTCCATGAAAGGCACAGCAACCACACCAGAACAACCCAAACGCGACAGAGTGGGCCCCCACCCCCAAAGTGCCTACTATAGAAACTATATACAAACACAAACTCATGACACCCTTGTAAGGGTGGTTCATCTACCTTCTTCCGGCTCAAAACCAATCTGCATGACCACCCACAGAGCTCTGTCCTTTTCAATGCCGCTGTCTTTGGAGCACCTTTTTGAGCACCTCATCCTACGCGATCCGCTCCGGGCTCGTGAGGCCCGTGACGTCGCAGGGTCTACGTCGATCCAACGCGGCGAAGGCCTCCATCTCGCCCGGCGACAGGTCGACGACCGTCCTTTTGGTCGCGCGGAGGTTGTCCGCGAGGCGGAGCGTGGAACGGGTCGAACGGCGATTGGACAAAGACCGCGTTGCACGTGCCATTTCAGCACCACTTGAGCTGGAGATAGACCATGAGCTTGGGCCACCTGAAGGAAGGCAGGCGGATCTTGGGGCGAGCAAACTAGGGCGCAAACAATGGCGCAAACCGTCTTTGGAGGGTTTTCATGGGGTTTTGTAAAGACCTTGTGATGCTGTTGTTTCCAGTCTGAATTCAACAGCATCGGCAGGTGGTGCCCATGCGCTGCCATTGGAGCAGCAAACGTGGGACGCCCGAGGCACCTGCAGAATGAGTGGATCTTTCAACAGCTGAAGCTGGCCCGATGCCAACGGCGAATATGCTTGTACTCCAATGCCGCAATCTTGACAATACCTGAGAAGTCCGGCGAACAACGGAACTGACGAATGACGAATAAAGAAAGAGGATTCTGTATTTTCTCGGTTTGTTCATGGTCATGTCCTTGTGGACTCGGGCCGTGTGAGTTTCACGCATTTTCTTTGCTGCAGCCAAACTGCCTGACCAAGTCCTTCTGCTGACAATACGGATGCACCTCGATCTGATTCACCGCAGGAACGCTGGGAGAAACGGCCGCCAGCTCCTGAGTTGATGGGGTGAACATGGAGATCCATTTCCCAAACAGGACCTGTCTGGGACTGGCATTATTTGTATATACGAGTACAGTGGGGCAGTTGAATCAAGTCACTGCCACTGGGGCGGCATATATATATTCAATATTCCAGTCCAATTAGGAGTGTCTGGGTTGAGGATCATTTGGGGTTGTCTACATTTGTCTACTGGCAACCACTTGGATGCTTTGGGGGTGTCTATTGATCACCTGGATCTCGTTTCTGTGGGTCGCAGGACCGCAAGTCACAAGGTGAGTCATGAGCAAGTCGTGGGTCATGAGCCAAGCACAAGGTGAGTCATCAGAGAGCAAGCCACAAGAAGAACTTTGGAGGTGGCTCAACAGATCTCAGTCAAACGCTTTGGAAGAACTTGAGCCAGCACGCGCTGAGAACGGGCAGGACTTGTCGGTGGATGGTGCCACCGACCTATGCCATCCCTAAGCCACAGGACTTGGTCCGGGCATTTTGGGTCTTACACCCCACAAAACAAAAGAGAAACTTATTGAGACCTAATGAGACCTATGTCTCTTTTATGGTATGTTCTGAATTGTTCTGAGCGCTGGCGAAATCCCAGGTCGTCACAGCTTCACCAAAAGGTCAGAGGACACTTCAGATCTAAAAGCCTTTCCGCCTTTTTTGATATCACCCCTCCTGCGCGAAAAGTTTTATCTGCAATCTGTACTAAATGGATCTAAAATGATCTAAATGGTTTTGAATTAATCAGTCTTCCTGCAAGGTTTTGCGCTTGGACCAAATTTTAGACATTAAAGGCGGCCCGTCTGACATGTATGGAACATGGATGCTCCCTTGACGTCCTGCCAGGGAAAGGTGGACGATCCTTCTCTTGCCTGGTTTGTTCTTCCTTCAACTCTGCTTGTCTCTCTCATTCTCTGTTTTTTCGACTCTGCTCTGTTCTCGCTTCTTCACCAGGAGGAGCAAACACATCTACGGTGTGAGCAAAAGAGGGTTCGAATCAAGGTCTTCCAGGGGGTGATCGCGCTGCATCGTTGGCAAAGCTTTGCATGTCTGTGGCATGGCTCGCTGGGTGTGACACAGGTGGCCTTTTCCACGTTGTGCATCTGTGAGCCTTAAGTTACAACAAGAATGGAAGAATGGAAGCAATGCGTAACCCATCGCAACCCCATCTAGCATCGCGCAAGTGTGACTCATTCCGACGGAGATATAACACGCCTTCTGTTTGCGTGCGTGTGCTCTTTTGCACTGAGCTCGCTCTTTCCAGATTTCACCTCCTTAAGGCAGGTGAGGAAGTAAGACCTTCTGATTTGTTCATGATCGAGCTGGCCTGGGTCTGCTGGCCGCTGAGCTTTATTTACGCTGCTCCTTGTTGCGGGCGTGTCGGGCCCCCGTGTCGCGCCTGTCGCGCCCGCGTAGCGCAAAAACTGTTCTCGTTCTGAATCTGAAGAACACTTGCGCGCAAAATGGGAAACAGAATCACTTGCCTGGATGGAAGTTAGCTAAGCTTAGCTAAGCTTTGACTTACAAAAACGGGTTATGAGAGCATCCAACCGCATTCTCTCCATTACACCGCACTCTCTCGAGTGCCCAATGTGGAGATTCAACATGAGAGAACTGGGCGCCAAACTCTGGGCGTCTGGTTTGGTGGAAGATTTGGCTCCCTTCCACGTTAGCTTTTGTTCCAAGGATGCTCTATGTAATCCCATGATCATCCCATGTCAGTATCCCTGCTGATTCCCCACTTCGACGCATCGTTCACTTCCACCGCCCTGTGACGATAGGAGTCCAGGCCGCTTCCAGGTGCTTCTGCGTGAAATTGGAGACGCCAATCTGACGGACTTGCTTGGCCTGCTGAGACGATGGTCGCGGAATGTGGATTGCTCAAGGATAGCTTCTGGCTAACTTCTATTTAGGGCTTACATACATGCAGGAAGTGAGGTCTAGTCTGCCACGTTTAACCAGAATCACTATTCAAATGTGACATACTCGTCTTCGGATCACTGAGATTTCGTTATCCTTCTCCCTTGGGAGGCTGGGGCGGCTGGGGCAACAAAACCAATTTCACTGGTCAGCCAGAATGATCAAGTCAACAAAATGTAGACCCCCCACATGAAGAGGGTGTTCAATCCAAATGGAAGTCTACAGTACAGTCCATGTACTGCAATGTGCGTTGCTTCTATACAAGCATCTTTGATCATCTTTGCGGGATATTGCCGAAGACCAATTCAAAGCCAATGCATCAGTCTTTACAGAACAGCATGTCCTCCCCACTCCGTCCTGCTGTAGCTCTTCAAGAGCTTTCCAACTCTCTTCACGCAACATGCGATTGCCTGAAAAAAGGGCAAACGTGCTCCGCCGGTATAATGCCCAAGGAATCATAATGGCCAAGAACGGTGTCAATGCTCAACTTCTTGGGGAAAGAGCTGCCGCCATCCGTAGGAACCTCCGCTACTAGCACCTTCTAGCAGCTATAAGTAGCACTTTCCGATCATCGCCGAAGTCCCATGTGGCGCGGGGACTTCCCAAGTCGAGTAACGAATCACGTCATTTGAGAGCCACCTCCCCGGCCAGTGCAACAAGACCGTGTCCACGCTGCTCATCCCCAACCTGCCAACTTTCGGCGTTCTAAAGAGGTACCACACTGTACTGCAGTTATTGGACTTGCACTCCTGCACTAATTAATTATCATTATCACATCAAGATGTCTGTCTTCCTGCAAGGGGGGGTTCTGAGCATCTCTTCGGAAGAGTTTCGTCAAAGCTCCCCATTGAAGAGGCTGGACTCTCAACCTGGGAGGAAGAGCCAGGAACCTAGACTACTTTATCTACAAGCTTCTTGACCGCGACGCAACCAATGCAAAAGGGGATAATCATATTATATATAGAGTATATTATATGTATATATATATATACAATTATATTATGACATATTATGAACTTATATATTGTACATGTACGTAAATGACACATGGAACCTGCAGGTGCAACAAGGTAGCCAATAGTGGCCTCCCATATCCATATCCCCGAATCACCCCGCCTCTCCAATGACTGGGTCACAGAGCGCTTTGTCTTTGTGTATCCCAATTCCGACCACCATACCTTTGTGGTGACCTCGGACTTGACAGCGTGTGAAGGAGAGCAAAATAATGCAACGGCCAAAGAGAGAATGCTGCTTTGGGATGAACTCTGTTCATATCCAATCCTTGCAATACTCAACATGACACCGACACTCTCACATCACCTCAAGATGCTTTGAGTTGAGAAAAAGCACACTCAAGGCGTCTTTTCCGACCGCGCACACGTGTCATGTTCTTGTTCGTCGGAAGAAAGTTTCATGCTGAACTCCTTGAACTCGCTGCGTACGAAAGAACTCCTCTAAGCTTTGGACGGCAATGTCATGTTTGCTGCCAACCTTGGCTATTGAATCAAAGACTCGTGGATTTGCAACTGGATGGATTTTACCCGCGGGTCTAGTCTGCTGGCCAAACAACAGCAGCCATGAGCAAAGAATAAGAATTTCACTGTTCGACGATGCTCGCCACTTATTTTTTCACACTTGACCATGGCTTACATGTTGCATTGGAAGAGTGTGTGCGCTTGGGTGTGTCAAGGACCAATCAACCCCCTATCTACCCGGTGAAGAATGATGGCTGAATGTTCCGTGAGTGTTTGTGATTGTTTATCCACGCCAAAGCAAAGCGAGACACTTAAAGACCTAGCACAGAATTCTTCAAACCGTTGAACTCCCCCAACAGGATTAGATGTCATATTATATTATGTTCATATTATGAACGTTGGGAGATGTTTCCAATCAACACTTTTCACTGCTTGCCAACCTGAAGCTAATTGCTCTTCCACTGCTCGCTGCACAGCATTTCCAACAACGTCTTCATTGCCATAGAATGCAGCCGTGTCCAAAAGCCTGCAAAGAAAAGGGAGCCATTGAGCACCCTGGCACTGATCGTAAATGGATCTTGTCTGCAGAACTGCTTTCCAACACGTGGAGCATCCAGGCAGGAAAAGTCATGAACTTGTTCGACAATTTTTTCCACTCCCAGGAACGCTTATACAATAAAAGAATGTTCATGACACAGCGATTTTAGACACACAAAGAATATGTTGGCCATGTCCGGGCTTGCTGAACGGCCTGTATCCGAACTGTAGAGCCGTGAGCAGCAGCATCACATCGCGAATCCCTGAAGTTCCCAGGCCCAAGCGTTGCGCCAACGGCACGTTCCGTGGCACGTTCCGTGGCACGTTCCGTGGCACGTTTGCTTCGCGCCTCGCGCCGCGGAGTGAAGTCGAAGAGCCAGCCGGGCGTTGAGGGCGTCAGGGGTTGAAAAATGGCGCCAGGTGGATGAGATTTGATAAGGATTATTTTTGGGGGATTTATCATGATTTATCAATCAATTTGGTTCATTAGGCAATCCAGTGCTTCATAATCATGTCACAACCAAATTGTTGCAGTGATCCTTGGCTGATCTTTTATTCTATTGCTTCAAACAAATCAAACAGTACAGTGGATGGAAGAACCATTAAATGGTCAAATGGTGAAACGCTGCCGTGTTTGTTGCGGTACACTCCCTCATTAGACTCTTGGCTGAGGCGACGCCTGACGCTCGTGGATGCCAAGGATGCTACCATCTCTCTCCTCCCAACAGCTTTCAAAGCCACGTCTAGCAAAAGGATCTGGATGTTCAACTGCCACATGTCAACATGTTTCAGCAAAGTTTTTCCCAACACACCTCGAAGGCTAAGCAAATTATACTCGTTCAGGTTACATTTCTCTTGCGCAAACAACCCTCCATAAACATGAGAGCAACATTGACTCCAGGCTTGAAAAGGCTCTTGAAGGACGATTTTCCAAGTCCAGGCGCTTTGTCTCAGGAAGTACAAGATGGTAGAACTATGTCTTCCCTGGCCCGTGGACACGAAGAAATCAGATTCTTTCCGTCCGTGGATCCTTGTGGCCGCAAAAAAGGCCATAGATGGATGTCGTTGGCACAGAAACGGTCCGATCCTCAGGAAGATGTCCAATGGAATGGGAGGTGTGGATTTGAGCCTTTTGGAGAAGAAATATGAAGAAACCAATCAAATCACTATGTTCTTCAATGTGGAGCCTTCTGGAGCCTTGGCAGCCTGATGCTTGGAGCGCTCGGTTGGTGGGCTTTAGATGTCTTCCAAGAACGATTCATTGCTGCCAGCAGAATGCAGTTTGCAGGGCTCAAATTTCTCTTGAAGCATTGAAACCGGTTCACCTCTCGTGTTTGCAGGCTGTCCAAAGCAATGGTGCCATAAAAGCGATGCCAGAAAAGGCGCCTCAAGCTGCCACTCTGCTGGCAAAACGACGCTAGCGTCTCACAGGACTTTTTGAGGGTTCCAATTTTCGCGCTTTGATCCTTTGTTTCAAGTCTTGTGCCCGGAGTGCGCTTCAATGCTTCAACTTCTTGCAGTGCTACTGCACCACAACACCAAGTGCAGCTGAAAGTCCAAACCAGAAAAGCCAGTTGTGCAGCTGCGAGCTGCACACATCTTCCGCGAGGGCCATGCTTGCTCTCCGGCCATCTCATTCCATTTGCAGGACTCAAGCTTCCGACATAAAGGACTCAAACTATGTCAAACTACCGTCCGTAAAGAGAAATGGACGAATCAGTTCGAAAGATCGAACAAGCTTGCCAATTGTGTGTGTGCTTTGCCCATCCGAAAGATCTCTGATGTGCTTGCCCATCCGATGTTGGTTCGAGGCGCGTTCGAGGCGCGACCGGCGAGACGGCACAACATGTCGGTCCAAAGGTCCGGTTCGAAACACCTCCGGTTCGAAACAACACATGAATCATGAGCCCAAATATAGCCGTATCTCGAATATGATTATATAGATGATAACAATATGGTTATAACATATATAATTATACAATCTGATTGTTATACTTCAACTTTAAAATGAAGTGATCTTGGCCCCCAAATACCTCTCACATCATCCTTCAGTCGTCCCTGAAGGCACCTGGCGCTGTGTGGCCGGCTGTCCCAGGGGCACAGAGGCTCCGCGTGGGGCGCCGCTGCCCGCGCCCACCACAAAGACAGTGGTGGTGTCCGCTGCCTGTGGTATCCGCAGCGCTGTCCGGCAGACCATGAAAGACGTAACACATGGGGAACGGAACGGAATAAGTGTTAAACACATGTTAAAACGCAGCAAAGGGTCACCAAAGTCAACACTTAGGAGCATGATTCATCACGATTCATTTGAGCGAGCAAGGAGATTCATCATGATTCATCTGTAACGAAAGACCACTCATGACCAGTCCCAAGTGCATCAAGGGCACTTCGGTCTGACCGTAGTGATTTCGGAGCTGCCGATGATGGCTCTGCAGTCGATTGCAAAGCTCCATCGGCAAAGGCTCACCTGGAACCACAGTGACAACCAAATCTGAATGCCATGTGAAGTGGCTCATCGAGACATATCGAGACGACACACTGCATGACATGATGAGGAACACCTTCTTTGCGTCACACTTGGCCACACAAGTCTATTGCACAGGGAGTCACACCCTTGTCTGACACAGTGGAACGACCGATTCATCCTGCTGCTCCGAGTCTTGTGTCTCCGATCGGGTTCTCCGCCGCAGCGGCGCGATCGGAGGCGAAGTGAGTGAGTGGAGCGTCCGTCGCCCTGCGTCGCCTGTCAGTACGAGATGACGGCAAGCTGGACTCACGGGCAAGTCAGCCAGCAGCATGGCCTCGAAAACACGACGGACATCGAAGGTCATGTGGATGTGATGTTGTGGCTGAAGAGCGAAGCAAGAGAAAGGCCGACACTGTTCCAACTGACTGGTCGAGATCTTGGAAGAACGTGGGTTCCGAAGAGCAAACAACAACTCTGAGAGTTTCCGGTTGTTTGGCCTTGGTTCCTTTTTGTTGGTATCCCTCTTTGATATTCAACAACTAGCTGGTACTAGCTCTCGTCTGGTCACCTGTGCTACCTTGGCAGGTCTTTGTAGATCTGGTCACCTGTAGGACGCATCACCCTCATGGCGCCTGGAGAACCGAAGGCACATACTGCTGCAAGCTGCAACGCTTGGCAAACTGAGCCTCAGGGCCGGCGTCTCAGTGCACAAACCAAGCAAGGAGGACAACGCAGGGAAAACGATGGAACGCAAAGGAAAAAGGTGCTGGTCAGGTGCCCGATTGCTGGGCAAGTGGAAAAAAAGCTTATGCCGTTATTAAAAATCTAGATCAATAGAGAGAGAGAGAGGCAACTTCTCATTGCAAATTCCAACTGACAAAAACAAGAAAAGACTGCCAGTGGAAAAGAATGACTAGGATGCTGGCCAGCATTTCCAAATCTTTTGCTCCTGTCAAATGGAGAAGCGTGATGCTGCATTCACAAAAGCAGTGAATGTGCTGTGAGTTCAAAGGAGATGAACAATGATGAAAGTAATTGTTCAATCATTGTGCTTGCATGCTCCCTTGCATGGGCACCTTTCCTGACTGCATCCTGGGGGGTGAAGCAGTGTGTTTGGAGATGTGAACATATTATTTGAAGAAGTTGGACACACAGTTCTGCAAGGAACCTCCTTTGGGTGCCAACGGCGCAATCGCCAGCTGTGCCCCAGCAAGCAAAGGCGTCCAGAGTTCGGGGGCTGCAGCCACCCATGCGAGGCTGGTGTGTTGCAAGGCCACCTCAACTTGGGCTCGAGAAGACAAGCACAGAACCAACATGGCACCGGTTCCTGCATTCTGGGCCATGTATCTGGGACAGTTTTCTGCATCTGCATGTCTATCTCGATGTGTAAAACCATACGAGAGTCCATACGAGAAAATGCTCTTCTCGTTCTGGTGCTTGAAAGCTCTTCGAATGGATTCGTTTGGCCCTTGCTCATGTGATTCCAAGCCAATCTTCAGAGCGGTATCCGGGGTTCTGCTCTGTTCTGCTTCCAGGGTCGTTCTTCTGCAACCTGCAAGGGGTCCACAGTGGAGCAACAATCACCTGGCTGTAGGTCATGGCACCGGAACACCTTCCAAACAACCACGGAACATGAACAGAATGGAGCGCCCATCGTCCCTGGTCTTCTCCTTCCAGGGCTGACCTGTTCAACCTTCATCGTTGACCGTCGCTGACCCACGTAGGTCGGCTGGGAGCCCCACATCGGTCGCTTGCAGCTGATGCGTCCGCACCACGTGGAGCAAATGCGTCAGGACCTGGGCCGTGGTTTTCACGGTCCACGTCCACGTCGACGTCGACGGGGCGTGTCAACCGTGGGCGCGAAGCGGGAGGGCGCGCGAGGGAAGCCGCACGTGAGACGTGCAAGGTGATGATGTGGAAGGCCAATGGAGCTTGGGAAACCACTGGGACCCGCGCGGCGGTGTGCGATGCTCGCACCACCTTGGGAGTGCCCGTGGATCCTGATGTGAAGAGTACCTGGAGAGATGGTAGCAGGCTGTAGGTAACAACTGGTGATATCAGTGATGATCTCTGCTAATAATTTAGTATGTTTAGATTAATTTCATTGAGACGTTGAAGCAACCACCAAGTATCATCACGCATCCGATTGAACCATCAGGTCTGCGATGGCGCTCTGATCATGCAAAATGTCTGAACCAGTCACTCGCCACTCGCCACTCTACCGTTCTTTGGTACATACCGAGTCATCCCAGCGACGCATGAACGACGCTCACGTGCATCGGCTCATCTCCAGAGCTGGCCCGGGACAGGGAGATCTCATGGAGAGAGCGACTCCTGGGAAGGAACTGTTCATAACTTTCCTCTCAGCAAATTGATGGACAGTTGACCAACATTGCCAGAAGAAAATGGTCCATGAATCATCGAAAGAAACGATCATCATTTCACTCGATGCTTGGCGGATTTTTTCCAGCCACTGCTGTTTTCCTGGTGGCACCACACCATGAAAAGAGAACGAGCCCCGTCCTCACTGAAGCATCCAATTGGATTGACACCTTGGAACTCAAGGTGAAAAAGCATGCCATTGACCTCCTGGGAAATGGGATGGTTTCGCAAAGTGGTGATGGTGGTCATTGTTTCAAACTTGGATTGTATTTCCTATACAAGAACATGCATGCTAGCTACTATCCAAACTTTGATTACTTTTTTCATTTGATGGTGGTCATTTGGATATATATATATATATATACACATTCCTATACCAAAGATCCTGGATTGCCAAGACCGCTCTCAACTAGATCGTCCAACTCTCAGGCACACCTCTTCCACCACCCCGCCCCATCCCCATCTTCCCTCGTCTTCTTCCCGGGCACCGTGTTGAGGCTCGTGAGTTGTTGGAGTTCGTGGGCGAGCTCTTCGGCAGAGGGGTGGAAGAGCAAAGCCCGGATGGCAGCCACGGAGATCATCGAGGCCTCGGGTTTGAGCGACGAAGGTTGTTTGGTGGAGCAACTCTTGTGGCACAGATCCGGAGGTGGACAGCATGGGGACTACGTTGAACATGTTTTAAAGACCAAAAGTAACTCTGTGGTTAAATTGATGTATGTTGACGTGTGAATCCATGTTGTTGTTGTTTTTATGTCATCATCAAAATCACAGCTGCACCCAATAGATGATAGATGTGGAGGGCCCGCAGGTTCTTGGAGATGTTTTCCATTGCCAAGGCAACAATTTCCACTCAAAGCTCCAGCTCGATCTTCTTCGTTAGATAGTGGCAAAGAGTGACAGTGGGTTTGGGAGCCACGGGATGGGTTTGGGAGCCACGGGATGGGTTTGGGACGATTCGAGATGGATCGGACGATCAGCATGGGTTTTCTTGCCGATTTCGGTCGGTCTAGACATCCTTCCAAGATTGTCTAGACATCCTGGGGTCAAGGCCAGCCGGTTTGGCGGCTGCGATGGAATGAGCGGGCAATAAGCAGCACCTACTAACCTTAGTTTCACTGAGGCTGTGCCGGCTGTGCAGATTGCCTTTACAGTCGAAAAAGAATGATTCCAGAATCCACAAGGAAATTTATAGGGGATCACGAGTGGATGGCATTTTTGGCTGTACACAAGTAGATGGAAATGGAGGGTTGCATTACTCTTACCGGGACCTATGTGTTGGTCGAGAATGCCATCTATGTGTTCCTGAAAAGCCGGGGTGGTTTCAAAGAGAAAGAGAGAGAGAGAGAGAGAGACACACAAATCTCACCTATTGTTCACTGCACTACGGTTCCTACTGTTTGCCCCCTGCTGATCATCGTCCATGGTAGCTTGAGACGCGACGGACACCAAATGCCATCAATCAGTGCACATTCTTACAAAACGACATCCAAAGATCCAAACGGATCAAGCGACATTTGCTGACATTTCTTGCATTTTCTGGCAATGCTTTTGAATGCTTTTGAGCTCTATTTGTATTGTATGCCATCTACTTGTTTCACATTTCTCTAGTGCGGGGGTAGATGGCATGGAAATGGTCTAAACCACAAGAGGCTGGCATATCATAGGCTCCCTCCTCATGCCATCCTCATGTTATCCCCTATACAGTTAAACAGGGACTTCAATAAGGCTTCAAGAGACATATAGGTTGTATATACATCCGGAGTGTTGAAAAGGTTTTTTTTCTCTGTGGCAGAACAAACAGTCACGACTGCGTGAAAATACCAAAAGCAGGAATGTAAACATAAGGTACTTCCGACTGACCGTGAGACCTTCCATGCTGTCATGCAGTCCCGTAGAGACTCGTGGAGTAAGGTACTGCCCGGACTGATAGCACGCGCGACGTGCAGTCGGAAGTGCAAACATTGCGCGCCACCAGGCCGCGTCAAATTTGTGCGAGCCTACGAGCTGGTTTTCTTTTGGCGGCTTTGGTTGTTCCCTTCCGACGGGGTTTTCACACATGCGCAAGTTGTTTTAAACCCCCACAAAAACACCTGGGGTTTTGTGCTTTCATGCACCGTGCATTCAATTACATGCATTTCATGCAGAGAAGTATGGATATGTATGGCAAGTTCATGCCTTTGGCGCAACAATGTATGGCACACTGTGACGGAACATGACGGAACTCATTTGCTTCTTAGGACACTTGAAACCCTCAGAGCCACCGAAGCCCGGTAAAACCTTCAGAGCCACTGGGGCGACCGTCGAAAAGCAAGAAGCTCCGCAAGGTACAAACACCCTGTGTTTCACCGTGGTGCTTTCTATTTTTTGCGCTGCTGGTCCCGTCCAAAACATGGCAAATCGCTGGGAATTGGCACGAACCACATCATGCATGTCGCCTTGGCGTACGGGTGGCCGTACGGCAGATGCAGCGGAGTGGATGAGTTCACTCAGACGGCACGGGAAGGAATCTGCGGAGCGGACGGCGTGGAGATGTGCATTGGGCGATTTGTTCAAGACCTGCACCTTCTAGTCCTGCCAGGTCCGCACTCCACACATGGAAGGCAGCACAGCACCTATGTGGGGGAGCGACACGAAACAAGGGCGCGAATTGAAACCTGAACCGGTCTTGATTTCTAGTGGTTTCTGCATGTGTGCGCGGTGCACTTTCTGCTAACATGTTGCAAACCATTGACCCACTGAACCGAAGCTTTGTGCCAGCAGAAACCACTAGGCCTGATCATGCCAACTACTTGTGACCATGGCAGAAAGCTACATACACATGCTGCACCTTCTGACTGTGGCACTGAAAGAAAAGGATATTCTGTCAGAATTCTGTTGTAAGCCTTTGCATCGTGGCGCCAACAACACGCATTCATTCATTGGAACATAGACGGCAGCAAAACCAAGCAGGGATAATATGAACAAGAAGAACAGCACTACCAAAAAGTAATTGATGAACAGCACATACAGTCTGGGGCCGGAGGGCTGGATGGGTAGAGTAATTATATAGAGGATGGATGAGTAACATCACGTTTGCAAGAAGGCTTGCCCATCACCATCTCTATGTTTTGTGAGTTGGATTCCCTTAAGGAACAGCCGTAAACACCCGTCATGATTCAGACCTAATGTCCTGTGCGTTTGTGTGCCCAGACCCAGTCCGCACCGCTGTCGCCAGGCGACATGGCTGCGAGAAGGCCCACTAAAGCAGCCACACCACGTTCAGCTAACACACCCACAATGGCTCTGGAGCCGGCAAACACCATCAGCCTCGGCCAGGGTAGCACCACCCCCTTGTGGGTGAAAAAATAACATCTCCGTGTTGTAACATATTAGAACACGGCGCCAACAGTGCTGGTGCAGTGCAAGCAATTCATGAAGTCATGAGTCATTGCACTTGAATTATGCTTCTTCCACCACTGCTTGCATCATCTTGCAGGTTCAATTCTGAGTCTGCATCTCTTCGAACCTCTTCCACCTCCTTCCTTTTTTCTTTGTTTTTTTCTCTCTCTCTCTCAACTGACAGGAATCCGGACTCTTCCGAAGCTGCAGCTGCACAGGAGAGCAGCTCGGAGTAGCTCAACCTCAAAATCTCGCGAGTCCAGCCGATGATGAGGCGATTTTGAGGGTGCACCAGTTCAATTCTCGCCATGATCATGTGCGCCATCCCGCCCAACTGATCCTTACCTGAAAACCAATTACGTACAGACCAGGAATGTGCTGGAGGGTCCTCTATAGTGTTTCCAAATGAACATCCCAAATATGTTATAAATCGATCTATATTATGACAACAACTCGACAACTCACAGAAAAACATAGAAAAACCACTTAAAAAAAGATATATAAAAAATCCTAGGAACCTAGTCCTTCGTTTCAGCCGAACCCCTTTTTGCGCATTTCGGGTGACGCAATTCCCACGTCAGCCGCCGCCGTGCTGCGCGGCGTGCGCTGGGCGCTCTGCAGCAGCAGCCGCAGGAGGTTCGTGCGCAGCAAGGGCGGGGAGCCGGCGACGCCCGAGGTGTGAAGAAGGTTGGACAAACCTGGACGAGCATCTGAGCGTCTGTAGAGGAACGTACTGGAAGAAGTAAAGGACATGATCAAAAGCAAGGTTATCGCAAACTGAGGGGGGCCGCCCATCGCTTTTGCAGGTTTTAGCCACAATGTCAACATAGCTGAACATATCGAAATACTGCAGACATGTGGTAAATTGGTCACTGCGCATTTTGGCGAATGCTCATCTGGACATCCTCTAGCAACTAGCGGGAAGAAAGGAGGGACCGGTGAGGTACATAGAATCATAGAATGACATATATATATATATAGACATAGATGAATATATATATATATGTAGCCAAGAGCTCAGGAAAAGTCTGTGCAAGAAGGACACATTAATATAGCCAAGAGAGGTTTTAGAACAGGGAGACGCATGGCGCCACGGTCATGCTCTTTTCAGTGAACATGAAGGGATTGGACAAACCAAAATGCATCTGTCTATGTGGTACCGAAGTGGTCCCAACTTGTTCAAACAAACAACCCAATGAGAAGTTAATCAAACTTGAAGCCCAGTAGCATCTATGTCATCTATAGCAACCCTACCCTACAATAATCATACTCCAAGCCAAGAATCCATCGCGTGGCTTGGATTGCTTGGACGGGTCTTCATCGAAGTGGGCAGTGAGACGCTTGGCAAGTGCTTGTGCCATGGGCTGGTCAAAGCCACAGGCCTCATTGAAGATCATCAACCCACACGTCTTGCTCCTGCAAATTGGTGGCAAAGTTCTGGCAGAGCAGATCAACGCATACAGATGGCCAGTGGAGGTGTAGGGGTAACATGTGGGAGCCAATTCCTGGAATTGGTCACAGAGTGTGGACATGTTTTAACCCACGGCGTCCCATGAAACCAATTTGATCCTTTTTCTCCTGTGCAATAAGTCGACGTGCCTGCGCACCCATGACCCATGGCTGTCCTGGTGCAGATGTCCACGGTACCCAAGGCCACCATGAGCTCAACACTCTCTAAATCTCGATGAGATGCAACGGAACTGCGTACTCGCTGACTGCATCCTTGGGACACCAACACTGCGCGCTCTGTGAAAAACAGCGGACTCCCGAGCTGGAAATCCCTCAAACATCCATTCTTGTGGAGTGGGGGAAACCAATCTCAAAAAAATGGTTTCGCTGCTTTGTCCAATGCTCATGGGTAGGAAGACAAACACACACACCGTTTTTCCTTAATGGAATCCCCAAGAAATCCATGATGTAGCCATGGACCTGCAGCTGAATGATGTTCAGTGCAATTGTCTGGTTTCCAAGTCTGAATTCTGAAAGTTGGATCTTTCAACTATAATGTATACATCAGAAAACACGAAACTGGACTTTGCAGGCTCAAAGACAAATACATAAAAGGACAATCCAGCCATAAATGATCACATTTGGATTTGTGCCCAGCAACTCTCACCCCATTGCTGCAAGCTTGTGGACAAACACCACGCACCGCAAGCTGGACCTGTCCAAGCTGGAAATGGATCAGCACAGGTACCCGAAGACAAACACCACGGCATCCATGCTCAACATCTCACTCTTCTGTAAAAAATGAAGCTGGGTGATATCTGAGAAGTCAAAGAAACAACGAACGCGGTGCTCAGAAGGAGGACGTCTGTAGCGTTTCTTTCATGAAAAGCGTCTTTCGAACATCCCTCCACCAGAAGGTTGGCTTGTTTCCCATCTTCTTGGTCTGTCAGGTGTAAGTTCCCAGTGTAAGCGAACTGCGGTTTCCAGGCCTTTGACCTGGAGCACTGCGGCAGAAGGCCTCGATGGTCGTGCCATCAGCCTTGAGCTGGCCAGCATGGGCACCCGCCGGGGTCGGCAAAAAGCGAATTCTGTCGTTGAAAACGTGTGCCTGGTTTTTTTCCGGACATGTTTTTTCGTGACCGGGTTTTTGATCAAGTGTCCGACACCGGTGGTTTAAACAACATACCTTTAAAGGATCACGCAAAAGGATTGCTGGATGGTAAATGCATGGTAACGGCAAGGGCTCATTAGGACCATCGTTCGGGTGGTGCTTGCTGGTTCATTCTTGTTTCAGATTCAGGGGTGTCAGGTGCCGCATGCGCCAGTACACCGCCCTACCAGCACGCAGTTTGCCCAGCAAAAGCCCACCTTTCCAGAGCGTAGCGTGGCACCAGGGCGTGCTTTTCCATCTTGGTGAGCTCTGCAGCCACCTGCCAAGTGCTTTTTGGGCACTTCAGCATCCACTTGAACCCGTCTGAAACCAAGCAGTGGCATCAGCTGCCAGTCGGAAAAAAACAACAAAAAATACCGGTCACATCCAGTCACTGGTGGCGCTGCCAGAGAAGAGGAGGAGGCCTGCCTCAAAGTCTGACTGCACCTTCGCAAGGCACAAGGGAAACCTTGGAACGGGCGAGTTCGCCAGATGTGTGGGCATGCAAACATATGCGAACATCCAATGGTCCAAGGTTGGATTCTTTGACTCCACCAGAAGGAGAAACTGGTGTTGACATGCTTCAACTGAAATTCTCTATGCAGGTAACTCAAGAATCCCGCAAGGCAGGCAAAGAGACCCCCAAGGCTCACTTGCTCATCCAACGCATCTCCATATTCAATGTGTCCTCACTCCTCACTATAGTTCCAACTGGACAAACAATCTGAGTATAGCTCGTGAACAACGCTAAGTATGCTGCCTGCCAAAGACATGCGCTTTTCTCTAAGATATTCTTCCTCACTTAAAACTTCCCGATCAAATTCATCTTTCGGTCCAAAGCGTGTCAAGCTCTACTGCTCCACCTGAGAGTTCGTAGCAGCTCTGCTACAAATCGTTCGAGGCCCCTGCCAACCGGTAGGTTCTTCACCTGTTTGGCTTACACAAGAAGGCTGCTCGAAGCATATTGTCTTAAACTTGAACTCTTTGTCAGCTGCTCTTACCATTTGCTCCAACGAGTCTTCAATAGCAAAGGGTTTGATAAACTATGTTTACCCATCAGGGCACATTGACACGAGCGCATGTGTGTGTGTGTGAGAACGTTGAACCCTTTTGTAGGGCAGCTGGCATGATCAATTTAGAAGCTCTGACCTTGACCAAAGTATCTGGTTTTGATCCAAATCCACATCTGTGATGCATCCTAACATACCCCGCTAGCACTGCACAGGAGCGGCTCGGACAATGTGATGCGGACATGGAAAACCCTTTAAACGCACAAACAAACACACTTATATAGTATAGATTATAGAGTATTATAGAGTGATAGTGTCCAAATTTCACCCAGCTAGCATCTGAAGAATGCGCCGTCCTGTAATAGTGTGCCGACATGTTTGCCCACGCAGAATCTGCCTCCCAGTGGCACCAGGACCTCAACATGGTATTAAAAGCTCTGGAAGCAAAACCTGTTTGTTTGACAAAGCCAAAGGCTTCCTATCACCTGGAATCGGGCATGCAAGACACACGCGGATCACCTCTGATCTGTGGACAGCCAACTAGTTGTTCAATCTATCTAAGTTGTTCCAAAGATTTTGCAAGCTGTTGTGGGAGGACAACTAAGGACCATGACTGATACCTCCTCCTGGCCAGACATTTCGCCCAGCCTGAGCACATGGTCCAGCTAAGAGTCTTTCTCATAATTTCTCTGAGACGCCAAGCGAGTGAGTCAGGATGTTTGCCGGGGAAATGAAGAAGTCAATTCATCTCAGTTCTACGTGCAACAACCGTTCTAGAGATGCACGGAGACCCGAGATGACTTGATCCAAGCCACACCCCAGCCAAAGCCGCCTGAGCACAAAATTGAGTAGTGATGCTCATGAATGATGAAGTTGTCTGACATGCCAGTACTCTACCCACTCCAGCCAGGGGCGCGCATCAGAGAATTGATTGTTCATGTTTTCTCATGCTTATGACTCCTCATGCAAAAAATGCAAACAATATATCATGTACACATCGTGTCTTTTGATGTCTTGGGAGACTCATCAGGCTTTTGACACGTCGCAAAGCCTGTCACAAAACGTCAGAGTCCAAGCGTGATGAACAAGTGATCCGACTTGACGTCGAACATACATCTAGAACCGACATGTTTGATCATACGTAATACTAGTACTGCATATTCTGTATAGGCGGATATGTACAAACGCCAATAATTCGTATATATCCACACCGTTTGATCATTTTCTCGCAGTCTTCCTACCAAAAAAGGCCATCCATCGTTTGGTTTTCGATCAGTTTCGATCCCTAGCTGCACTTCAGCCAAGGCACGATCACTGATTCCACTGATGTTGATGGCAGCAAGAAGGGCAAAGACTGCCACGAGGGAGATGCGGCTGATGCCCCTGGGATGAAACTCAGAAGCCAAATGGACTACATCGCGACACAAACACAGGCTCCCTGCAAACCTATGGGGTACGACAAAGACCCCAATCTGCGCATCTCCAGAACCTATCTGCAATAATCTTGAATTTACACGGGATGTCCGTCCAAAGGCTATGTTGTACGTGGACTCGAGCGATTTGGCATCTAGCTACATTGGCAAGAAACTCTGCAAACAGAAATTCCACCGCTTCATCACCATCACACTCAAAAAAGGGTTGCTATAAATCACCTATACATCAGCACTTCGGCCATCTACAGCCCCGGCCGTGATTCCTCTCGCTACAGCTGCGCCTTGGAAGGAACGTGGAAGCTCAGCCTAGCGACACACGGCCCGTTTTTGCGGCGCCGGGCCAACGGCTCGTGGCTCGTTCCGTTCCAAGAGACAACCAACCGACAACCTGATGGACCACATTGGTCTCTGCCCCGAAATAGGGGGCCATCACGATCGAATTTTCAACCCCCTCTTGGTCTCCTCCCTCTGTCGTTTCAGATCGAGCACGTGACCGAGGGGTCGCAGCATGGAGGGGCATTTGGATGAATTGAAAGGATTCACAGTTCACAGTGCGCCTCATGCATCAATCTCTCCCTCCAAAAGTTCTCCAACACCTGCAACAACTCGGCTGACTCTGAGAAAGAAGGGTCATTGGGTCACTTTACGTCACTTGAACGACAACAGGCTGATGCTAAACAGCACGCCAAAAGGATCCAAAAGGTCTAACATGGTCTTACACTCCGTCCTGGGACAAGAGCACCCTCAATCAATGCATGCTTTTGCACCCGTTTGAAGACAAGGCTCGGGGAACCCATGGGTGGAAGGTCATCTGAATTGAAACAACACCGAAACGTTTGGTACGCAGTGTGCTTATTGCCATTGGGGTCAATAGGATGATGCCGCGGATCGTGATGATCGTATGCTGATCTGTGTGTATTCTGCAACGGGAAGGGCGACACGGCGGAAAAATATTCATCCAGATGTGACGAACTCATTTCTTAGAGTTACACTGTTAAACATCGATTTGCATTCTGAATGAACATCTCTGTAAACAATGGAAAGCACCCAATGATAATGGCAACACGATTACTCTACTACAAAGAAAAACTTGTAATAGTTATTCAAGGTTATTCATCCATTCAAAGTTGTCGACAGTTGTACTCAGCCAACCCACCCTCCTGGTCATCCAGCGAGACCATGGGAGCACAACTACACCTCAGTCACAGCAAGACGCGATGGAAGCAAGACGACACCTCTGGTTACGGCGTGACACCTGTGACACTCATGTCGATCGCGGCCGGTGGTCCGAGAAGAAACCGGATTTGCTAAGTGTATTTAGTTTCTGGTTGTGTCAACCATCAGTTTTGTTTCATACACAGCTGTTGAGAGTTCTTTGCACAACATTGCACAACTATATTGTTTGACTGTCAAAGTGCATGCTATGTCAGAGCCATACTCTGACACCAGAATAGACTCTTGATGAATCTGCCATGCCTTTATTGTTCTGTCGTCATGTTTGGGGTGGGGGATTGCAGGGTGCTAAGTCCATTTCATCCGTCGCATTCCGCCCTAACCTGTCATTTGCTTGGCGCCTTTGGTGATGAATACCTCAACTGGGCCTGCCACGGTGCAAGTGGAACTGCCCGCAAAAGATCATGCACCTCAAAGACCGGCCGAACTGCAGCCCCATACAATGCCTTCATGAATCCAGGTTCCTATACATGTGCACCATGGATTTGTTTCCACAGACTGGTTTACATTGAAGGGGAATGCTCTGATGTGTTTGTTCCCTCCAGATCCAGATTAGGAGCCTCTGGAAAAGGCTAGGAGGGAGAATTGACCGAATGGTCGACCCTCCCCCTCCAGATTAGTATCTTTTGGCAAAGGCTGAGAGGGAGGGTCTACCAAAAATATAACCCCCTCCTCCAGATTAGGATTCTTTGGCAAAGGCTGGCAAGTCTAGTAGAGCAGAGTGATAAAAGCAAGTTTTTTAATTTTGAAATTAATGTTCACAATTTTTGAAATGTATAAATATATCAAGCCTTTTTATGCTCTGCAAATTGCCCTGGGGATCTCGGGGAGAAGTATAGATATATCTAGAGGCCTGTGCAAACTCTGGGTGTGCAGGCTGGCGGAAGATTTGAGGGACGCTGTCCCATCTAAACAACCTTGCCCACAGAATCACAAAGCTGCTTGCCCGTCTGCGTTCGAATTCACACCGAGAGAGACTCAAACGGACCTGAGGGTAGGGTGGGGTCTACGATAGGCTTAGCAATTTAGGCTATTCTAAGTGGCAGGTTGTTTTGGCAAATTTATTGCTCAATGAATCATGCTCAATCAATCCTTTGTTAATTTGTTTCTCAATTTCAATGCAAGAACCACCACCGTTCGCCAGCTCCCATCGCTTAAGGGCTTGGCAGTGTACTTCTCCACATTCTCCTGGCTCTGATGGGTGTTCCATTTCGACTCTTCCTGGCCTTTTTCATCACTGGTCCCCTCGTCTCCTCTGAGAAGAGCAGCAACATCGCATCCAACTCCTCCAGAAGGATCTTGGCCTCTCCTCCAATGAAGAAGACACCGAGTCTGTTCCAGAACAAAACAGCTGGACATGTCTTTTCCATGACGACGAAATGGATTCCGATGTCGATCAAAACTCGGCTCCGAATAGACATGGAGCATGTCCGTTTACGTTCACGCGCGACGTTTTAACGTTTCAGGGCCCCATTCTTTTCTTCACGTTCGCTCAACGTGGGGCGCTGAGAACCCTTCCCGAACTCGTTGGCGTTCTCCTTCGTCACCTGGGACGCAGCCTCTCAAGGTGACCAAGATCTCTTGGCCTCGCCTTGCGACGGTGACGATGTAAACATCGAGGGAGCGAAGCAGAGTCTGCCAACCTGAGTGACCCGGTACCAAACATGCGTTCAAGCAAACCTGCTATACCAGGACCTTCAAAGTGACCGAACTTGAGATCCCAGGATAAGGTCACTTGGGCCTGCAAAGGGTCGCTTAGAGACACCAAAGAGGTCACTTTGAAGGCCCTGGTAGTTAGATTATAATACTATACAGTAGCTGCCAGCACTGCTTGCCTGTGGTTGATGAACATGGGTCTGAATGAGGCTCTCTTTCAGCCTAGAGGACAACCCGGTTGTTCAACTGATCATGGTAGTCTGCAAAAAAAAGCAAGCGTCCATACAAAATTTTTAGTTACTTACTTCAACAGGGTACCAGTAGTTGACTACTCTCTTGATCTGAGGACAATACTGACCCCACTTCACAAGCATTTGACGTTGAAGACTTTCTGATTTCAGCAAACACGTCTCCAAACTCTAACTCCTATGACTTGCCTACTGTCAGCTGAACCGATCTTAAGATCCTCAGCAAATCTTCCTTTTTCAGACTCTTCCCCGACATCGAATCAGAACCATCTGTAACCATCTGGGCCTTGGAACCATCTGAAGGGTCACGGAATCCATTGAACCCTACATCTGACTGCACACTCGCTACGTGCACGGTTTCGCGCGAGCGCACCTCGCGACACGCAGCTCTGGAATGTGGGCTTCGTCGCCGGCAGCGGGCACTTCATGCTCACAAACCAGGTCCTGTTGCGTGTTTGTGTGTGGATCGGTTGGGCTCTGTCTAGACCTTGACCAAACAAGCTGGGGTCGGAGGGGTGTGCGCTTCACATCTCCATCGGTACAGGCAGGAGTGTGCGCGAGCGGACCAATCCTATTTGCAGGACGAATTATTGCGAAGCACAAACCAATTCTGCACGCCATGTTTTCGAGATGTCTATGGGCCAGAAGAAAAAATAACACCAAAACTCTGGCAGGAATCTCAGATCGGGCTTTGTCTTGTTGATCCGGCCCGCAGTTCTTCGCGCTGAGCAGTCCAAGTTGGTCTTCGCCAGAAGTTCTTCGGGCAATGGTGGCATGTGATCAAAGATCCAGGCACATTGGAACAGCGGCCTCATGAAGGTTCGGCTCGGCTGACAAATAGTATTCACATTGTGTTCACCCAACGACGCCTTCTTCCGTGATCATTTCGCAGTTGGAGGTAGTTCAAACGTTTAAAAGGCTCGGGTGATGAGTGAATATGCAAAATGTATATAAATAGATGAGAATAGATGTATCCTACACAAACGGAAGCTAGCAGTTTTGACTCACTGATAGCTAGCCAGTCTCATAGAAGCTATCAGAGAGAGTGTGTTCATTGTCTCGGACTCTACATCCATGGACCAGGTATGAGGTGTTTGGACCCGGCTGGACCCGGGTCCAAGCACCGATCCACCGGTCACTGGTGATGTGTACCCATGGTGACCCCCGTTACTTGGAACAGATGTGTCCCGGATGGATGTCGAGACGAGTTTCCTACAAACGAAGAGACGGAGATGACCTTGGAGACCCTGTATATCCCAGACTCGACTCATGGGACTGCTAGGACGGACTGCCGCCCCATTGGGGTGGGGCCATGAGGGGTGATCGGCTTGATCGGCAGTCCGGACTGGCAGTCCCAGACAGGTCGTGTCTGGGTGGTCCTCATCAGCGTAGCATGTGGCATTCGGTCCGGTGGCACCTAGACGGCACGTAGACGTAGCATGTGGTTAACTTGTGAAAAGCATGAGCTGTTCAAAGAGAGCACATTGTTTGTTATTTTTTTATTTTTTTTCGGTGAGGCGTCAGAGTTTGTGGCATACTTAGTTGTTGACCTATGGAATTCCTGAAAACGTGTTTGTCTCCCTCTGTGAGCGTCTGGGCAAACCATGATCTTTGGGCAAGCTAAGCAGCTACATCCAGTTTACATCCCCTAAACGCAACACATCCGTCCCATCCAAAGAGAAATACCCTCCCAATTTGGGAGTAGATGGTGCCACCTGCTTGTAGAGGAACAATGGTTATCCAATAGGGCCATGCCATCCACTTCCATGCTTAGCTTCATGGAGTGTATCATGCATGAGAACCTCAGCTGCGACCTGATGCTCTCGTTCGTTGAAAATGTCTGAGCACTCCACCCCTGGGGAAGGCCACACCATTTCCGAATCCTGCAGTTTCGGCGGCTCGGCCCTCCAACGCGTTTGCTTGAGTGGACAACCCCCCCTTTCTGGGTGAAACAAACTCCTCTTCCTTTCGGGGCTCAGGACACGTGCACGGCATACTCATGTCCATGACCTTGCTTGATGAACCAATCAGGTATTGACAAAGAACATCAAAGAACAACGATTCCGGGCACCTCTTTTCCAACTCCGAGAAGCGCACACGCTGCCACGCTGCTTGGAAAACAATCACCGTGTGGTTGTGAAACACATCTGAAGACTACTTTGGGCTGTGAGACTGAACATCTATAGATTGTGGATCTGCCCAGAAGCGCTTCTTGTTAGTGAACACCTCTGCCTCTGCCCGACCTATGTTGTCAGGTCAGAAGCTTCAGGCCATGATACAATCATCTTTCACACGGCCGTGAGGTGGATTTAGATTCTGCAAATGTTTGTACTTGGTCTTTTGCGGATGTAGAGCACCCCAAAGATCATCTCCTTGGCTGAGCTGTTTGCTTTTGGCGACGGAACGTGACCACGACACAGGACACACTGACATCGTCCAAGTCAAGTTCCTATCCACGAACGGGGCGCGCAGCGTGGCCGCTGGGTCAAGGTTGGAAGGCGCTTTTTGGGGTGGCAAGGAAACGCAATTTGCCCGTTCCATGTGATTGGTGAGGTGGGGTGTTCTGGAAGAATTCCCTTCGTTGATGTCTGAACTTGTAATGTTGATGTCCGGGGAAGGCTTCACAAATCATCTGATCACCATTCCAAGACTCTGGTGTTGTCTAAGATGGGTCTGTCAGGGTTTGGCTGTGGGAGGGAGCAATCTTTTTCCAAGACTCTGATGTTGTAATTGGGATTGGCATCAACGAACAAAAGCGAGGCATTCTGCTCCGGCTTGTAGCACGCTAACCGCACCGTCTCCTTGTCCTTCTCCGTCAAGTTGGACATGGGAACATAGACGGGTGGATCGGGACACCAGGTCATATCATGTGGACCTGCAATCTCATTGGCATCCTTAGGATGTGAAGGAAAAACCATAACACACACATATATATATATCTTCCCGATGATTTGTATGGATTTAGAGGAAAATCAGATGAATCACCCTCCGAAAACTGGGGCGCATTTCAACCAGGCATCCTTGCAAACCACGGGCCGAATCATGGATTCACCCTTGGAGATATCATCCTTCACGTACATGCGAAGCATCTCCAGATTCAGCATCTGATCCGCCTGAGATCTGGCCGCTGGCAGATGCTTCGCCACATCGCGAGCCTAAGGAACAAGCTGCGGTCGACAGCGGCCAAGCGCGGTCGTTTCTGCGGCGCAAAAAGAAAAAACATCGAAGCTCCCTGCAAAGAGCGTCCTTTTAAGTTTGCATGATGTTGTGTTTGGTGTTCAATCAGCTCTCACCTCCTCAACAAAAAGAGAAAAAGATTCAAAGGCAACTGACCAAGCGCCAAGTTGGAGCTATGCTGGTAACCACGCGAGACCTGTGGCCCCAGATCCTCTGACATCACCAAAGGATTAGGGCCCATGCTCTCGAAGAGAGCATCTAAATTATCCCACTCTCGCCAGCCGTTGTTCAAACGCATGCCCGGGAAGTCATGGGGACTCTGCTGATCTTCCTTCTTGCATCGTTGGAGCAAGGCTCTGTTCCTTGGATCTGAGACACATGGCGGCACAGGTCAGTTTCAAAGAATAAAAAACACCCAGTTGCATGTTTATACAATTGGCTTCTTCGAGGACCTTAAAATTGCCAAACAAAAGAAGTGTGGCTGCAGAACATTCACCACAGAAAATCCAAGAACATCCACCAAATCCACCCTTTATACCCTGTAAATCATTGTTTTTGCTGGATGATGTGCAGCTGTTCGCACTGTGGTCCACACGTGGCTGTGCAGAAACCTCTCAATTTGGGCAAAGCTTCTGTGCCTCTGCATTGATCACAGCCTGTTCGATGGCCTCGCGACACCAACAGACGCAAACCGGGTCCCCAACAGACCCAAGTCCACAAGGAACTTGATTCCCTCCACCCCACTCCCACAAAAACACACACCAAACCTCCTCGGCACCTTCTCATGCCTTCCCCCAAAAAACATGCAAAGAATCACATCAGAAAAGCCGTCGTCTCCACATGTGTCTAAGACCACCAGGAAGTTGCCCCCCACACGCGGGCTTCGCAACACGCCGCACCTCCTCCGGCGAGCCGTGCGGGAAGTTCCCCGTGCGCCCGGAGACGCGGTGCTCCAACTCCAGCGGCGCCGTGAGCTTCGGCAGCGCCACGCGGCCCGACTTCATGGTGTCGTCGCCGACGGAGGCCTCGGTGTGGAGCGTGCGTGCGTTTGGGGTTAAAGCGGTGACAGGAGAAGGGTGTCACAGCAATTCGGGGGTATTTAATTGTTTAGTACTGTTGAACATCAGCTTCACTGAATGGTTGTAAACAAGCAAAAAGGAGTTGAAGGATGAAACAGCTTAGAATGAGGAAGAGCAACAGTATATTGGTATATTAGCACGCTAGAGGGTATAGAGGCCCTATGTCCGGCCAACTAACTAAGTGCTTTTTGGGGTCTCCACTCCCAATCAAGATCTCCCCCAACCACTTCTGCCACCCGAACGCTCTCTCCGCTCAGGTCCGTCTCCGTCTCCGGTCCTTCCCCGTCGGACCGTCTCTGGGCTCCCCGGGCCGATTCGGCTTCCGTGACCAGGCGATGGGAGACGTAGATCCCGCCCAGCAGGCGTCGGCTGTCCGGATTCCGCAGGGCCAAATAGTCCTCTTTCGTTCGGTTGGGGGAGTGGAGTTGGGGGAGACGGCAAGCTGGTCAGCGAGAGAGGATCACACGGATGTATACATGTTCATGAGTGCTTAGTTAGTTATAGTTGAAAAAGCATGGACATATAATACATTATAGAAGAAAAATGGTGAAGAAATCCCTTCAACAACTCCTAATTAGTCAGACCTTCAACTCATCCTCTAATGATCCTTAACAATCCTAGAACCCTATTATATATAATTGCTATACTGTTATGACTCATCATCTTCATCCATCTTCTCCAGCCTATTTACACACACGGGATCTTACTGCATCACCGTCCGCACATCCGAAAAACACCGAGACGACCCGGTCGACGACTTGGTGAAGGGCTCCTTCACCATGGGCTTCCAGGAGACCTTCACCGGGTCAGTCACGCCGATGATCTCGGTGCTGGTCGTACTCCCCGACCTGCCCCGGTCGAGATCGACCGGCGGCCGAGGTGGCGGCGCGGTGGCGCGGCTGCTCGGACGGTGCGGCAGTCCCCAGTGGCGCAGTGGGGGGGGGGGCGATGTCGGAGGTCAGGTGTGTTGGTGATGCATACATCTGGGCAATATAAAATAATTCCTGGGTCGTCGGTTAATTTCGTTAAATTCAAAAACTGAATTTAGTGACGTCGTCGAAATTACGAAATTATGGTGACGTCGTTGTGCCCTAACGCCCCCAGCCAGCCAACACGCTGGCCAGCCAGGGGCGACCAAAGCTGAAGCCACGTGTCCACCTGCGCGCGAGAAGGCTCTGGCTAGTGGAACTGGAGCGATTGCAGTGGGTCTTTTGTGGTTCACACAATTTTTGTTCGTGTAGTTTGTTCACCAGCAATAAGTTTGGTCGTTCGTGCAAAGATCAAGAGCCAGCTCAGCAAGCACAATGGATTTTTGCCAGGGAGGGAAAACTATTGCTTGAGGTCCGCGACACAAAGTGCTGGGTGTTTTCCTCAGCTTGGCTAGCACATGCAAATTTGCCAACATGCAAAGGAAAGCTAGCCAAAACCAATTTTTCCCAGCGTAGTTTGCCGAGCTACAACCTGATAAAGCCCCAACAATCCACTTTCAAGGCCGCCAGGCCTCAAATCCT